CGTAGTTACTAAACGAAAAATTGGGAAGAGAACGTCCCCAGGTGTTTGTTGTTCGTAATGTGTTTAGTTTTGTAGTTTTTTTTTTAAAAAAAATGTTTTCAATATTATTTTTATTTTTGATTTAGAGATATCTGGAATTGGTTACGTGATGGATGGGAGACCTGTAAAAATGCTTTAAATAAAATAAATAAAAATCTGGTCCGTATGCAAGGATTTAAACCTGAGAAATATCTGATTTTTTTTTTTAAAAAAAGTATTAAATAGAAGTTCTCTCCACCTTGAAGAGATAAATTTACTACCAGAGACATATGGCTTACTTTGCAAAACTGAAGGAAGAAAAATATACATGATCGTATTATTAGTAACTACTGTTTGTTTCTCAGCTTTAATTGGGGGAACTTACGCCTCAAAGCTGCCAATATTACAGACGTACAGGCGTAACTTAAATCTGGAAGGCGTGTCGGAAGCGTATTTTTAGAATAGTGGCTGACAAAAGCTTAGTAAAATAAAATTGTAATTCTTTTAAAATTTTAAAATCTTAAGTTCCGGAGTTCGTAGTATGTCTGCTTCTTTATCTCTCTCTCTCTCTCTCTCTCTCTCTCTCTCTCTCTCTCTCTCTCTTCTCTCTCTCTCTCTCTCTCTCTCTCTCTCTCTCTCTCTCTCTCTCTCTCTCTCTATATATATATATATATATATATATATACACACACACACACATTTATACATGTACATATACATGTACACATGTACATATATATATGTACATATATATGTGTGTGTGTGTGTGTATACACATACACTTTTAAAGAAATAAAATGTTTCAGGAATCCAATCTCCTTAGAACAGAAATCTTCAACTTGGCAACTTAAAGACTTGTGGACTTCAACTCCCAGAATTCCCCAGGCAGCATGGGGAATTCTGGGTGTTGAAGTCCACAAGTCTTAAAGTTGCTAAGTTTGGAGAGCCCTGCTTTAAAACAGTCCTCGACTTACGACAGTTCGTTTAGTGACCGCTCAAAGTTACAACGTCACTGAAAAAATGTGACTTGCGACCGTTTTTCATACTTACGACCTTGGCAGCAGTCCCGTGATCATGTGATCAAACTTCAGCTGCTTGGCAGCTGGTTCATACTTAGGACCGTTGCTGTGTCCCTGTGACTCACACTTGTGACGGTTTTGTGACCTTTTGACAAGCAAAGTCAATAGGGAAGCCAGATTCACTTAAGAACCGTGTTACTAATTTAGCAGTGATTCCCTTAACAGCTGCGGCAAGAAAAGTCACAAAATGGAGCAAAACTCACTTAGCAAATGTCCCGTTTAGCAACCACAATTTTGGACTCGATTATGGTCATAAGTCAAGGACAATCTGTATTGTTTTGTTTTTCAGAAAGAATAACACATTTTCCCTGTTATTACTTGGGAAAAAAAATAAGACCGATCAGAAGTATTTATGGACCATTGTAAAAAACTGTGTTTTATGATTTGGATACGGCATTATCAAATATTTGGGGTGATATTTTACTCTGCTGAATCAATAAATAAACATGCTAAATGTATCAGTACGATAATACTGGATATTAATCAGTGGTTTAAAAGCATTGAGTTTCTGGGGCACGATTAATGCAAGATTAACGTTTATTTTTAAAGGCACAGAAATGTTAATTCTTACTAGCGTTTTCTTTAATGTTGCTGCCATCTTGTGACTCTCTCCCTGAACTGCGGCCAATGAGCAACTCCCAAATCATTTTAATTTGAGAGCATCTACAAGCTTTGAGATATGATGTCGCTGTAAATGCCATTAAAATATATATATATGTGAAGATGCCATTAAATGCCATTAAAAAAATACTGTGTTTCCCTTGAAAATAAGACCCTGTCTTATATATATTTGGTCGTAAATTGAGGATTGCTTGTAATTATATTTATGTCCTTTCTTTTGCAAGCAGAACCTAATAGCGAGAAATGCCCTTTTATAAGTTTGACTATTTCCCAAATCAGCATTTTTTCTTCCACTACTTCAGTTAAAGGAACATTTCTTTTCCTTTCGTTTTATCTATTTTTACTCGAATCTGAAAAGATTAGTTTCTGAAGAGACAACAGCATATTGTTTCTGGCAGAAACATACAGGCTAAATGAGAAATCAATTTTTCTTGTTGTTCCATATGGGATATTTTGTTATACAAGAGATTATTTTATTCCTGTGTCAAACTTGTAGTATGTCACATTAAGATAAAATATCTTCATTTTTTTTCTGTTGCCAGTCGCCATCAATTTCTAGTATCCTACATTCAGATTCACTGTTCATTTTAGAACACATCTTAACAATAACGTAAGATGGATTGAATGTAAACAGGACTGTCTTTGAACACATTTTTCTACTTCTGCATTCTCTCCTTGCTTCCTTTAAAGGTTCTTTTTTTTTTTTTTTTGCCAGATCGTGGGAGAATCCCACTTCCCTGTCATTTCCTCTACATCTTTAACAGATTTAAGTTGGAAGGGACCTTGGAGGTCATCTAGTCCAACCCCCTGCCCAAGCAGAACCTACACCATTTCTGACAGATGGCAATCCAGTCTCTTCTTGAATTTCATCACTTCATCCAGTGAAGAAGTTCCCACAACTTCCGAAGGCAACTTCTGTTCCATCGGTTGATGGTTCTCACTGACCGAAAATTCCTCATTATTTCTAGGTTGAATCTCTCCTTGGTCAGTTTCCATCCATTATTCCTTGTCTTGGAAAATAGCTTGACCCCCTTCCTCCTCTCTGTGGCAGCCCCTCAAATATTGGAAAATGCTATCCTGTCTCCCCTGGTCCTTCTCTTCACTAGACTAGCCATGCCCAGTTCCTGCAACCGTTCTTCGTATGTTTTAGCCTCCAGTCCCCTCATCATCCTGGTTGCTCTTCTCTGCACTCTTTCTAGAGTCTCAACCTCTTTTTTATAGTGTGGTGACCAAAACTGGATGCAGTACTCTTGGTGTGGTCTTACTAGGGCTTTATAGAGTGGTATTAGTACCTCTCTTGATCTTGATTGTATCCCTCTGTTAATGCAATTTAGGATTGCATTGGCTTTTTTGGCTGCCGCTGCACACGGCTGGCTCATATTTAGCTGATTGTCCACTAAGACTCCAAGATCCCTCTCGCCGTTCCTGCTATTAAGCCTGGTTTCACCCAGTTTATATGTATGCGCTTTTGGTTTTTCTTACCTAAATGTAAGACTTTACTTTTCTCTACACTGAATTCCATTCTGTTAAGAAATGAAACATCAGAAAGCACAGGAAAAATTTCTTGTAATATTATCATCTTCGGTCATTCTAATTAGAGTAGACTTAAAAAAAAAAAAAGGAAAGGAAAGATAAAGCAAGCAAAATTTCATTAAAAAGTCTTTCAAATTTACTGTGTTTACGCAAAGGGAAAAGAACCCAACGACGTCCTGCTAAAATTAGTTTCGGCTCCCACGCAAATTGGCTAAACTATATTAAGCTGTTATTCATCCTTGCTCGATACAGAATGTGATAGACTCATGAGTGGCGTAAATATACTAAATCTATTTTTAAAAAAATATTGAATAAGAGAATAACAGAGTTGGAAGGGGCCTTGGAGGTCATCTAGTCCAACCCCCTGCTTAGGCAGGAAACCCTATGTCAGGTTTCGATGTCATCTCAAATAAATTGCACTCCCAAACAATTAATCTTTGCTGAAATATTCCATTTATTGAGTACGACAGATCTGGCCCCGACTTCGTCGTAGCCGATACTAACCCTCTGACCCCCAAACCCTTCCCTTTCCATTCCCCAATTCTCATCTTCTCATTGGCCATCTTCCAAGTCAGTCTCCCCAGCTTCCGACCTCACCCCACAGGAATGTTTCCCCCTCCCATCCCATCTCCTAGGGGATATTATCTACAGAGAAAATAAGTAGGTGAAAAGTCAAGCCTCGTCTTTTTATGGCAGCATCAGAATGCTGACACCCTATACCACTTCAAATAAGTGACTGTCCAGTCTCTTCTTAAAAACCTCCAGTGATGAAGCATCCACAACTTCTGGTGGCAAGCAGTTCCACTGGTTAATTGTCCTCACTGTTAGGAAGTTTCTCCTTAATTCCAGGTTGCTTCTCTCTTTGATGAGTTTCCAACCATTGTTTCTTATCTTATCTTATTTCTTATCACCAAGCTTTCTGGTGCTTTGGAGAATAATTTGACCCCCTCTTCTTGGTGGCATCCCCTCAAATACTGCTATCACATCGCCCTTAATTCTTCTTTTCCTTAGACTAGCCAAACCCAAATCCTGCAGCCGTTCTTCCTGTATTTTATTCTCCAGAGGTGGACAACTGTTGTGCTTTTTCACAGCAGCACTACCGGAAGGGGAAATGGGCCCGGTCCTTGTACACAATGCTTGACACACACAATGCTTTGTTAAGTTGACAGCTTGCAAGAAATTGTAGATCTGCTCCAAAATAGAATATATGCTTCATACTTACGACGGTTGCAATGTCCCTTTCTGACGGGCAAAGTCAACAGGGAAGGCAGATTCACTGAACAAGCGTGCTACTAACTTAAAATTCACGTAACCTGTCACTGTGTTATGTGTTTGTCAGCCGAGCTTCCATCCTAAGACTTACGGTAGCCTGCCAGAGAACTTTATCACGTCTCTGTAGAAACAGAGATAAGACTGTCTTGTGATTTCTGATGTCCAAGCTTAAGGAAGAAACTTCCTGACTTTCTTTTTCCTTTGTCCGTCTGTGTGATAAAACTGCCGGTAACGATGTAGTTAGTAAGTTTGTTTTATTTCTTTATAATAAAATGTTTCTTAGAATATATTTCGGGTTTTCTTTCTTTAAAGTATAAAGCATGGAAAACAAGATCCATCCGTCTCTAATTAAGTGCAATTACCCCAGGGGAGTATCGAAGCTGATTTACTCTTCGACATAACCACTGTCTCACTTAGTGACCAAAAGGTTGGGTTCAACTGTGGTCATAAATGGAGGACCACTTGTATTTTACTGACCTTAGCCTCCGGATCGCTGTTGATGCTACAGGAATCATCATCGTCACACTGCGGGACATTTCTGTTGAATAGAAGAGGATGATTTTCTGTTAGACCAAGGCTCAAATATAGACCGACAAGTCAAAGAAACTCCAAGATATTACACCAAGGAGGGGGAAATGTTTTAAATTTGACATAAGTGACTCCAAAATGCTGGGTAGATTTCACAGGCTGGGCTGGAAAGGTGCTGATGGCACATCTAGGCACTTTTAAATGTGGTCCTGTACATTAGGCAGCTCCCACAGCAGCGCAACCAAAATAGAACTGCGCATTTATGCTGCGCCGTAAGACGCAATAAAAAATTAAGGGACGATACAGCAGTCAGGAAACTGAAGGCAGGACACGGGGCTCGATTCAGAATCTTTCAACCTAACCTCTGCAACTGACAAGGCAAAAACAACAACAATGCACAATTGACAACTAAATGGAAATAACACATTAACAAAAGAGAACCCTTCACAGCCAGCAAAACAAAACAAAACAAAACACAATCCTTCTTTTTTTCTAACACTCCTTGGTGGAATTAACAGATCTGGGGTAAAATGGCAGCCAATAAATTAGATAGATAAATAGATAGATAGATAGATAGATAGATAGATAGATAGATGATAAGATAGATAGATAGATGATAAATGATAGGACAGACAGACAGATGATAGCTAGATAATAGATAGATACAGACAAATAGATGATAAATGACAGTAGAGACAGACAGATGATAGCTAGATAAAAGATAGATAGATAGATAGATAGATAGATAGATAGATAGATAGATAGATAGATACAGAGACAGACAGATTATAAATGACAGTAGAGACAGACAGACAGACAGACATAGATAGAGGGGTGAAATCCAGCAGGTTCTGACAGGTTCAGGAGAAGCGGTAGCAGAAATTTTGAGTAGTTCAGACAACCGGCAAATACCACCTCTGGCTGGCCCCAGAGTGGGGTAGAAATGGAGATTTTGCAGTATCCTTCCCCTGCCATGGCTACCAAGCCACGCCCACTAAGCCACACCACGCCCACAGAACCCGTAGTAAAAAAAAATTGGATTTCACCACTGGATGGATGGATGGATGGATGGATGGATAGATATAGATAGATAGATAGATAGATAGATAGATAGATAGATAGATAGATAAATGGATGAATGATAAATGACAGTAGAGATAGATAGATATCGGTAGATAGATAGATAAATGATAGCTAGATAGATAAGGTAGATGATAAATGACAGTAGAGATAGATAGATATCGGTAGATAGATAGATAAATGATAGCTAGATAGATAAGGTAGATGATAAATGACAGTAGAGACAGACAGACAGACAGATGATAGTTAAGTAATAGATATAGACAGACAGACAGACAAATAGATGATAAATGACAGTAGAGACAGATAGATGATAACTAGATTAAAAACAGATAGATAGATAGATAGATAGATAGGTAGATAGATAGAGTTTTAAGTCCAAGCCCCATTGAATTCTGTTGACTTTTATCTAGCGCCAATTGGCTTGAGCACTTAAATCAGGGGTGTCAAACTCAAGGCTGGGGGGTGGATCTGATCCACGGGGTGCTTAGATCTGGCCCGTGGGGCCGCCCTGGAAACAGCGAAGGACCGGCCAGCAAAAATGGAGCTCGGGAGGGTCACCTCCGTTTTTGCTGGCAGAGGGTTGTAGGAGGCTGTCGCAGCCAAAAACAGAGCTTGGGAGCCCGTTTTCGCTGGCAGAGCGCTCGGGCCGCCACAGGCGCCCCCAACACGAGTGATGTCGGGTTGGCCATGTCCCCCCTGGCGCCCCCAAAGTCAAACACAACCCTGACGTGGCCCTCAATGAAATCAAGTTTGACATCATCGTGACTGAAATCATCTTAACCGGAATTAAACGCATGGTCTGTCGCACAACCCCATCGCCTTGCCCATTCATTCCCACTTTCTCACCGGAGCTTCAGGGACGCGTATCGCAAGGTCGCCCCTTCGAACTCTTTTAAACTGGGGTCCGGATTCACGGTGGCCGCGTGAAGGTCCTGCAGAACGACGGAAAACGGTGCGTTAAGCCCACTTTAAGAGAGCACCTCTCCCTTCTAAAGAGGAGAACAACGACAACGATGCTCGGTGGACACGCAAGCAGGCATGCACTGTTCACAGCACAATTGTTAAGGGGGGGGGAAATGAGAAATGAGCAAATTCGGGCTGCATGAAAAGACCAGGTTCAAGGGGCATGGGGTTTTTTTTTTGGAGGTGGGGGGGGGGGAGGTTGCAATCTGGCTTGGCAAAGCTCACATTCATTTGGCTGATTTTGTTATCGTGAGTGATATTTGTGGGAGGGAGAGAACAGCCGTACAGCTACAGCCATGCAAAAGGCAGATCGCATTTTTTAAAAAATGAAAATAAAATTTAAAAAAAAAAAGCTGAAATGAGTGTCAAAAGCTCTTCTAAAAATCTGACCAGATACTTGCCTTCCAAATGTCACTATTAATCTTTCCCCCATTCAGCACCGCAAAATCACTCCATGGCTCTCTCTAGATATATGCAATATATGTATATATATTCACACGGGAAGAAGCATATTGATTTAAAACAAAACCAAAAAAAAAATCATAACAAACAAAAAGGGGCATGGAAAGGGAAGGGAGGGAAGGAAAAAAAAAACACAGAACACCTTTGTTAGCACCGATATTTAAAGGCTGGGTTAGGGAACATAACAACACCTTAAATTAGACGGAAATATAATTTTACAGCAGAGCAGAGCTGGCTCAAAGCGTGGAGGGGAAGGCAATTTTGCCCTCCCCAGGCTCTGGAGGCTTTTCTTGAACCTCCGAGAGGGTGAAAATGGCCTCCTCAGGCTCCGGAGGCCCTCTCCGGTCTTCCCAAACTTCCAGTAGGCCCGTTTTACGCCCTCCCCGAGCCTCTGCGCACGCCCTGCACTTACCTGCATCCAAAATGAGCCGCGTGGGGACTCCCGGGTAGGGCGGGGTGGGCGGAGCCAGCCAGGAGTGGGATTTGGGGGGGTTCTCCGAACTGCGCAGAATCTTAGCTAGAGGTTCTCCCGAACCCCTGCGAACCCCCAGCAGCCCACCCCCGATTACCATCCATGATTTCAGGACGACTCTGGGTTTATGTGTATCGAAAGAGCAAGACCTCTCCACATTCCTAGGACTTTTACTTGCTGGCTCCTTGGTTGCTCTCTGAATTTGGTGGTTTTCTTGCAAACGTTGCATGACCCAACTAGGGAACATCATCAGGGCACAAACAATGTCCCCTAGTTGATTCATGAAATGTCCGCAAGAAAACCACCAAGATCAGAGAGCACACCAAGGACTTCACGGTTCAAGCTGGACTTTCAAATATTCTTGGTATTTTTACAATGCATTAGGATGCCAAAACTGAATTCTACATCCCTTCCTCCCTCCCTGCCAAAGACTCTAGGTAGTCCTCAATTTACGACTACAACGGATTGGATTTTATTATAGATTTTAGTTGTTATTTATTATTTTATACTAGAATTTTTAATGGTATCTTTACTAAACGTCTCTATTTGTTCTGGTCTCTCGTCTAAGACTGCAATAAGCTGATCGATCGATTGATTACAACCAAATTTACGTTACTAAGTGAGACAGTTATTAAGTGAGTTTCGCCCCATTTTACGACCTTATTTGCCACAGCTGTTAAGTGAATCCCTGCCGTTGTAAAGTTAAGTCAGTAACCTGGTTGTTAAGTGAATTCATAGACTTTGGCTTGTCAGAAGGTCGCACTGCAACCGTCATAAATATGAGTCAAGGTGCCAAGCATCTGGATTTTGATCACGTGGACCATGGGGATGCTGCCATGGTCATTAAGTGAGAAAAACGATCATAAATCACTAAATTTTGAATAGTCCCTAAGCAATCTGTTGTAAGTCTAGGACAGTATGACTAACCTTTTCTGGAACAAGTGCCCAATGCGGCACACACGCGCTGGAACCCACTAAATGCAATGTGCGTGCGGCCCCTGCGCATGTGCGTGTGGCTCCCCGCTTGCACCCCGCCCTCTGCGCATGCATGCACAGGCCCTCGCACGGGCCCTGCCCCCAGCGCATGCGCGGCAGAGACCTGACGACCAGCTGGCTGGCGGGAGGCACACAGAGCTGAACTGGGGCGACGGCTCGCATGCCCACAGAGAGGGCGCTGCGTGACACCTGTGGCACGCGTGCCATAGGTTCGCCGTCACGGGTCTAGGGCTCTCTGTATTTGGCAGGACTGCCTTTTGTGGAAAGTCTTCGAGACCATGTTAATGGCCGTCTCCTGTGAGGCCCGAGGATGCAAACAATTGTTGTGGCCCGTACACGGCCTGTGCAGCTAGTATAGCTGATTCAGACAGCGAGGAGGCTGGTGTGGTGCTGCGCCAGCAGCCTGTGCAGCTGGCACTCGAGTCGGACAGTGAGGAGGCTGGAGAAGATGTGGTGCCAGAGGCAGGGATTCATCCAGGGCCTTCAGAACCTCCAGAAGCTCCCATAAGTGAAGAGGACAAAGAGGAGGAGCCTCTTCTCGATGTACGAGCGCGCAGAGCTGCCAAAAGGTAGGAGTGGCTCCTCAGGAGGCTGTCTCCTCGAGAGTAAGGCTTGGGGCTAATTGGCCACTCCCTTAGCCTATTTAAGGAGGACCGCCAACTGAAGCAATTTGCAGGGAATTCACATACCTTCGTGTCTTGTCTTGCTTATCTTATCAGCTTCCTGCAAATTGCTTCTGGGCATTCTGCCAACCATAGTAAGCTTTCAGTTATTATTCTTTGAATTCTTGGCAGCTGTTAATGCAGTTAATTATCAGCCGTTGTTGTAAAAGACTGGTTTATTTAGTAAACTAAGGTTTGAACGGACTTTGTGTGTGCTGCGTTCCTTGTGGTCCATACCTGGGGCAGAACAACAGCCTAAGGATCAGTTATAATTAAATATTCTTTTCTAAATCTTTCCCACCTGCCCTCATGTGTTCACCCTGGTTGCACCTCCTGCTTCATTGCATCCTGCAAACCTCCTTGCAAAAAAAAAAAAAATGCAACTTTAACAAGAATGAGGTCAAACCGTCTGGCTATTTCACTCCTTCAAAGCAAATCAAAGCGACTCCCCCGAGGACAACTTAAATTAAGTTGTCTATCCACATAACGGATTGACGTCCATCAGTGCCAGAGGCCAGATATAACAACATGGCAGCTCCTCCAAGGATTTGTCCAGGAGACGTGAGGGAAGATAATCAATTGATTATCTTGAGAAACGTTTTCGTGATCATACATGCTCGCAAAGAGCCAAGCTCACCCGGATGAATATTATCTTCATATTCTATTTTCTGTTATCTAGAAAAATATCTAACGTATTTTCTACTATCCCTCTCAGAAATGCCCGAACTAGAAAAAAGAGAAATTATTAATTTAATACAAGCAGCCCTCGAAATACAACAGTTCATTTAGTGACAAGTCACTAAAGTTTACAGCGGCATTGATAAAAAGCGACTTAGGACCATTTTTCACACTTAGCGACCACTGCAGCATCTTTAGGGGGGTCACAGGATCAAAATTCAGACCCCCTGGCAACTGACTCGTAGTTATGACGGTTGCAGTGCCCCCGGCCTTGGTGACCTTTTGACAAGTAAAACCAATGGGGAAGCCACATTCCCTTCACAACCGTATTCCTAACTTAACAACCACAGGTAATTCACTTAACGACGGTGGCAAGAAAGGTGGCAAGATGGGGCAAAACTCACTTAACGAAAGTTTCACTTAACAACAGAAACGCCCGGCTCAATTGCGATCGTAAATTGAAGACTGTCTGTATTTTAAAAAAAATTAAAATGATTTAAAATGATTAAAAACTATCATTGGATGTTTATTGTTGTGGGGGGGGAAGGAATAGGAGGAGGAAGTTGCGTTGGGTATGTTCGCTGCCTTGAGTTATTTGTAAAAGTAATAAAGGCAGGATAAAATTAAATAAAATACATACCAGCAAACCGCCTGCAATCCAGTCAGGCTGAGGGAGGCAGTAAATAAACCCTATCAATTAACAAAGCTATACATTTCATCCATTCATCATCCTCATTTAATGACCCCATAATCCCTTGCGGGGTGGAGTCTGGGAAACTGAATGCAGCTAGCAGAGTGTTTACTGGCCAACTGCCCTTCCTGTCACCAATGCGGAGTTTTGTTCAGCAGATATATTCTCATCATGCCCAGAGAGAGAAAATCTGCCTCTACCTAGGATCGAACTCACAGCCTCCTGATTGTGAGGGCAAGAGCTCCACCTCTACGCCACCACACCGCTCGGTAGTCAGTACCACATCTCGTGTGTATAATGATTGCAAATCATCATCATTTAACAACCCCATTAACCCCTGCGGGGTGGAATCTTGGCAACTGAATGGAGCTGAGTGGTTTAATGGCCGGATGCCCTTCCTTGTCGCCAATGCGGAGTTTTGTTCAGCAGATATATTCTCGTCGTGCCCAGAGAGAGAAATATCAGCCTCTACCTGGGATAGAACTCACAGCCTCCTGATTGTGAGGGCGAGAGCTCCAACCTCTAGGCCACCGCACCATATAGACAGCTGATTGTTTTGCTTTAATTTGTCTAAAATAAATTTATGGAACCGATTTTTTTTTTAAAATGACATATTCATTTAAAACAAGGTGTATTCTCCCTCTTCGATCACAGGAGGCATTCAACGCTTACCTCGGTTTCTGGAGTAGGCGATGAGGTGAGAGAACTCAGGGAACCTTTTCTCGAACATTGAAGATCTGTGGGCCCCGAGATGGGGCGTTCCCACTGAGTGGTCCCTGTGGGTATGTGCCAGTAATAGACTCCCGCTATATCGCTGATCTTCTTCCAACCCGGTGGAAGATCAGGATCGGATTGAAAGGAATGATCGCTCCAAATATCTGCTGGGAATAAAGAATCCACCAAACAGTCTCTTTAACTGCAAAGCTTACAACAAATGGAAAAAAAAAAGGGGGGGGAAATCTAGGGTCTAATATTTTATTTATTATTTATTTATTATTAATAATTCAACTTATATATACCGCCCTTCTCCCCAAGGGGACTCAGGGCGGTGAACAGCCAAACTTAAAACACATATAATACAAAAGTTAAGAGAAAACTAAAAATAAATTAAATCATCGGCATTTCCAATTTAAAATCCCAGATCTACAAAATCGAAAGTTCCCAATTTAAAACCCAGAATGAATAAAATCGAAAATTTAAAAACCCCATTAAAACCATTTTAAGCTAGGTCAGCTTGCTGGAATAAATAAGTCTTCAGGGCCTTTCGGAAAGCGCGGAGGTCCGGAATCAGTCGTATTCCAGGAGGTAGCTCATTCCACAGGTCGGGTGCCCCCACGGAGAAGGCCCTCCCCTGGGGGCCGCCAGCCGACATTGCTTGGCCGACGGCACCCTGAGGAGGCCCTCGTACTGGCGAGCGTACTGGCCGTACTGGCAAAATGACCATTGTCTATCAACATTCTCTTTCTCTCTTTTTTTAATGTTTCTTGTTTATTTATTTACTAATACCCTAAGATACAACATTACAGAAGAAAATAGTAGGGAGGGGAAAGGGAAAAGTGCCGAGAAAAGGGGGGGGGGGGGGAAAGAAAAGGCGTTGACTTCCGACTCCCTTTGGTGTAGTAGAATAAGAGAACAACATCAAAACTCAACTTTTTTACTTTTACATAATAGCATAAACTAGCCATTTCTATAATAACAAACCTATCTAATCGGTAAACCCAAAATCGATAATAAGCCCAATCGGGCTTTTGAGCGCATGTGCTAAAATAAGCCTCCCCCTGAAAATAAGCCTTCCCTGAAAATATTTAAACGAAAATATTTCATTTAAAATTATTTAAACGAAATCAGGTAAGACGACACAAGGAGGCCCATCTTGCTCCACAAGAAAAAAATAAGACCTCTCCGAAAATAAGGCCAAGCGCTTATTTCAGGGTTCAAAAAAATATAAGACAGGGTCTTATTTTCGGGGGAAACACGGTACTAACCATTTCTATAACAACAAACCTTTCTAATCAGCAAAACCCAAAATCAAAGTTTTCATTTTTTTCCCCTCCCTCAAATGATGGGGCTGCTTTAAGAGTCATTTTACCAAACGGCTAAATTTTTTATTTTACCAAAATTTTACCAAAATTGGCTGTTAGGCACTCCCTGCTGTGTGACACACAAGAGATACGGCAACGTTTGGTCCCTTAATATTGCAAATACTAGCTGTGGGACTAGGAAAATGGATGAGTGCAATTCCGGCTCAAAGACGAACCGGGTGAAGGCAAAATATCCCCAGCTGCTCCTAATGCGGGATTTCTTCCGTATCGAGCAAATGAACAAAGATGAAAAGGAACACAGCAATAATTGTTCACGGTTTGTCGCACTGAACGCTACCAACAATCAGAAATTCAATTCCTTTCCCTTGGAAACAAAATGCAAAACAAGCCAGAAAAACAACATATAAATAAACCTAATAAAAGGCAACGTGGCTCTGAAAGCAACTTCTACATTAGTCATAAACCTTTCCAATTTCCCCCTCCCCCCCGAAAAAAGGACAAAAATGTATTTTATATAAATGTATTTATATATGTATTTTAGAGACCCTTGCTACGTTAAATCGCCAAATCAAAACTAGGGCCGATTACCTTCGATATGTACAGCTAATCCTCAATTTACGACCGCAATGTTTCTGTCCCTAAGCGAGGCATTTCTTAAGTGAGTTTTGCCCCGTTTTAAGGCCTTCCTTGACCCCGCTGTTAATCTTGTGAATCTACCACAGATGTGAGTAACATGGTTGTTAAGTGAATCCGGCTTCCCCGTGGACTTTGTTGGTGAGAAGATCGCAAAAGGGGATCACGTGACCCCAGGACGCTGCAACAGTCGTAAGTACATGCCAGTTGCCACGCATCGGAATTTTGATCACATGACTTTCAGGATGCTGCAAAGAGCAGAGCAGATCAAGGAATGGAATGGAATAGAATATTGGAATAAAGAATAGACTAGAATATTGGAATAAAGAATAGACTAGAATGAAATGGAATGGAATAGAATAGAATAGAATATTGGAATAAAGAATAGACTGGAATGGAATGGAATAGAATAGCATAGAATAGATTTGGAAGTTGACATTGGAGGTCATCTAGTCCAACCCTCTGCTCAAGCAGGAGACCCTATACCCGTGATGGAGAACCTATGGCACGTGTGCCACAGGTGGCATGCGGAGCCATCTCTGCGGGCACGCGAACCGACCCCCAGGTTAGCTCCACCATGCATGCCCGCATGCCTCCCGCCAGCCAGCTGATTTTCAGGTCTCTGCTGGGAGGCGTGTGCACATGTGCGGGGGTCACAGGGGTCACTTCTGTTCCACTGGATAATTGTTCCCATGGTTAGGAAGTTTCTCCATAATTCTAACTTAACCTATCCAGATAGCCTTGCTCCCAGGGGTGAAATGCTCCCGGTTCGGACCGGATCGCCCAATCCGGTAGCGATGGAGGCGGGTGGTTCGGAGAACCGGTAGCAAAAATCCCTGCCCCCCCATGCCCAGCTGAGTTGCCTGATCATCAGAGGCTTTTTTTTCTTTTAAAAGCCTCTGACGATCCCAGCTGAGTTGCCTGATCGTCAGAGGCATTTAAAAGGAAAAAAGCCTCTGACGATCAGGCATCTCAGCTGGGATCATCTATTCCCCAAAGAAGTTGTAGAAAAAATGGTTTTTGAAGTTTTTTTTTAAAAAATTGGCCACGCCCACCCAGTCACATTACCGCCCCCACCAAGCCACGCCCACAGAACCAGTAGTAACAAATTTTAGATTTCACCACTGCTTTCTCCAGTGGCAAACTTTGCTATTTTAATGAAGGAAATACAATACTTTAGCTGCAGTTGATTTTTCTGGAATTTAATTAAGGATGGCGGTATAATTCAACAAACGTCTGTACGTTTTCAACGAAGGAAACCGACTGAAATTTCACACCAATATCCCAGAGTGTAATTAGATTAACTCTTCAACCCTAACTAATGAGATCTTTTCTCATTAATAATAAATATCTTCAAACACATGAATTCTTGTGACTAGCTATAAAATATAATTGTAGCTGGACAAAAATCCATAACTGATTCATATATCAACTTTTTTTCTGAACGGGCTTCTACCAATATTTATTCCAGGCTGATCAGTTTAAGAGGTGATTAATCCACCGGTGTGAAACAACTGTCATCTCGATAAAAACAGGATGAGAATAATTCCTGATTATTTATCAAAACCATCTGACAGAAACCAATCAGATCTACCCACTAAACGCTGAGCGTTTCAAAACTAATCTTCCATTATACGGCAGGCTGACTTCATGTTGAAAAACTTGAGAAGACTGGACTCCGTTGACTTAAGATGATTTAAGAAAAAAGAGGCACCGGGAAGAGATCTGTGACACATGAAAAAAGAAATTATACAATTCGCAAAAAAAAATAAAAAATAAATCTTAAGACTTCTGTGCAAATGCACATGGTAGATTACAATTTTCAGACCAAAGAACTAATTGTACACAATATGAAGCTGCTAACAGCACCATTGTACAAATTTCTTAGACTCGCAAGATAGAGAGGGACTGCTTTTCCAAAACCTTCTCAAATCAAAGCTACAATGTTGTTTGTTTGTTTTTAGATAGCGCCTTTCCGCAGTAGTTAGAACAGGGTCACATGTAATGTTCATAACTTACATTTGCTAGAGAGTCCTCGGCAGTTCAATCTTGTCTGGTCCGCTATCGGCATCCTTTAAGTTCGCTCTGCACATGTTCTAACATCTTCATGGTTGCTTGTGGTTCCCCACTCAGCTAAGACTCCAGATCAGCCTGACATTTAAGTGGGGTGAGTGCGTGCGTGCATGGGTCAAGATCCTTCCGCTTCCTAGATGCCATTTAGTTAATTAGTCTAAGATGGAACGAAGTTGGAAGACCCAACCGTCATCAGAAAGTAGCTTGCCGAGGGAAAACGCCACAGGTATAAATGAACACCTTCTCTAACGCACCAAAAAAAGGAATGCCAACGTTGTGTTACCTGCAAGGCCTTCATTACGAAACAGATATGAGATTGCCAGAGCTTTGTATTTCCTGACCGACTGGGTCCAACGTGACGCCTTTTCGTCCCATCTCCGTTTAAGGCACGGCTCACAATCAAGGTTGAACCGGCTCACCCAAGTTTCTTGCCTCCCGTTTGTTAACGCGCATTAAAGATGCCTCGATATATATTGAAAAAAGGAAGAAGAAGAAGGGGGGGAAAAAGCAGGGCGGGAAAAGGAAGGGAATGCTTCCAAGTTCAATAAAAATTTATCGCAAAGGTTTGCTTCCTAAAAGCAACAAGCAAAATTCTGCATAAGGCTGCCGCAACCTTCAACTCCCTGAAGATGTGTTGCGGTAATGGTATGATTGATTTAGGGAAACGGTTCTATTAGGAAAAGTACTGCTCCCCGCCCCCAAGTCCCTCCTCCTTGCTTCGATCGATAGTTTAAGCCATGCCAAGAACTGTGTCAGCCAAAAGGATCTGCATTTTGTTTTTTCTACTTTTTAAAAAAACAAGGCTGGCATTGAAATTAAATTCAAGTTTACATAGGACGTTCTTTCAAAACATTAATTACGGGAATCTTATTTGTGTGCTGGACCCCTAGATCATTTTTTTTAGCTGTCAAAAAAAGCCCTCACCCACGTAGACGAACAAATAAAAATGCGGTTTTAAGGAATCTGCATTTTGTACTTGGCAACTTGAAGACTTGTGGACTTCAACTCCCAGAATTCCTGAGCCGGCCTGGGAACATGGTTCTTTTATGACTTGTGGACTTCAATTCCCAGAATTCCCGAGCCAGCATGGGAACATGGCCCTTTTATGACTTGTGGACTTCAACTCCCAGAAT